CAACAGAGAGGTCAGAGAGAGGTGGGCATGGGCACCAACAGAGAGGTCAGAGAGAGGTGGGCATGGGCACCAACAGAGAGGTCAGAGAGAGGTGGGCAAGGGCACCAACAGAGAGGTCAGAGAGAGGTGGGCATGGGCACCAACAGAGAGGTCAGAGAGGTGGGCATGGGCACCAACAGAGGTCAGAGAGAGGTGGGCATGGGCACCAACAGAGAGGTCAGAAAGAGGTGGGCATGAGCACCAACAGAGAGGTCAGAGAGAGGTGGGCATGGGCACCAACAGAGAGGTCAGAGAGAGGTGGGCATGGGCACCAACAGAGAGGTCAGAGAGAGGTGGGCATGGGCACCAACAGAGAGGTCAGAGAGAGGTGGGCAAGGGCACCAACAGAGAGGTCAGAGAGAGGTGGGCATGGGCACCAACAGAGAGGTCAGAGAGAGGTGGGCATGGGCACCAACAGAGAGGTCAGAGAGAGGTGGGCATGGGCGCCAACAGAGAGGTCAGAGAGAGGTGGGCATGAGCACCAACAGAGAGGTCAGAGAGAGGTGGGCATGGGGCACCAACAGAGAGGTCAGAGAGAGGTGGGCATGGGCACCAACAGAGAGGTCAGAGAGAGGTGGGCATGGGCACCAACAGAGAGGTCAGAGAGAGGTGGGCATGGGCACCAACAGAGAGGTCAGAGAGGTGGGCATGGGCACCAACAGAGAGGTCAGAGAGAGGTGGGCATGGGCACCAACAGAGAGGTCAGAAAGAGGTGCGCATGAGCACCAACAGAGAGGTCAGAGAGAGGTGGGCATGGGCACCAACAGAGAGGTCAGAGAGAGGTGGGCATGGGCACCAACAGAGAGGTCAGAGAGAGGTGGGCATGGGCACCAACAGAGAGGTCAGAGAGAGGTGGGCATGGGCACCAACAGAGAGGTCAGAGAGGTGGGCATGGGCACCAACAGAGAGGTCAGAGAGAGGTGGGCATGGGCACCAACAGAGAGGTCAGAAAGAGGTGGGCATGAGCACCAACAGAGAGGTCAGAGAGAGGTGGGCATGGGCACTAACAGAGAGGTCAGAGAGAGGTGGGCATGGGCACCAACAGAGAGGTCAGAGAGAGGTGGGCATGGGCACCAACAGAGAGGTCAGAGAGAGGTGGGCATGGGCACCAACAGAGAGGTCAGAGAGAGGTGGGCATGGGCACCAACAGAGAGGTCAGAGAGAGGTGGGCATGGGCACCAACAGAGAGGTCAGAAAGAGGTGGGCATGAGCACCAACAGAGAGGTCAGAGAGAGGTGGGCATGGGGCACCAACAGAGAGGTCAGAGAGAGGTGGGCATGGGCACCAACAGAGAGGTCAGAGAGAGGTGGGCATGGGCACCAACAGAGAGGTCAGAGAGGTGGGCATGGGCACCAACAGAGAGGTCAGAGAGAGGTGGGCATGGGCACCAACAGAGAGGTCAGAAAGAGGTGGGCATGAGCACCAACAGAGAGGTCAGAGAGAGGTGGGCATGGGCACCAACAGAGAGGTCAGAGAGAGGTGGGCATGGGCACCAACAGAGAGGTCAGAGAGAGGTGGGCATGGGCACCAACAGAGAGGTCAGAGAGAGGTGGGCATGGGCACCAACAGAGAGGTCAGAGAGAGGTGGGCATGGGCACCATCAGAGAGGTCAGAGAGGTGGGCATGAGCACTAACAGAGAGGTCCGAGAGAGGTGGGCATGGGCACCAACAGAGAGGTCAGAGAGAGGTGGGCATGGGCACCAACAGAGAGGTCAGAGAGGTGGGCATGGGCACCAACAGAGAGGTCAGAGAGAGGTGGGTATGGGCACCAACAGAGAGGTCAGAGAGAGGTGGGCATGAGCACCAACAGAGAGGTCAGAGAGAGGTGGGCATGGACCAACAGAGAGGTCAGAGAGAGGTGGGCATGGGCACCAACAGAGAGGTCAGAGAGAGGTGGGCATGGGCACCAACAGAGAGGTCAGAGAGAGGTGGGCATGGGCACCAACAGAGAGGTCAGAGAGAGGTGGGCATGGGCACCAACAGAGAGGTCAGAGAGAGGTGGGCATGGGCACCAACAGAGAGGTCAGAGAGAGGTGGGCATGAGCACCAACAGAGAGGTCAGAGAGAGGTGGGCATGGGCACCAACAGAGAGGTCAGAGAGAGGTGGGCATGGGCACCAACAGAGAGGTCAGAGAGAGGTGGTTATGAGCACCAACAGAGAGGTCAGAGAGAGGTGGGCATGGGCACCAACAGAGAGGTCAGAGAGAGGTGGGCATGAGCACCAACAGAGAGGTCAGAGAGGTGGGCATGGGCACCAACAGAGAGGTCATAGAGAGGTGGGCATGGGCACCAACAGAGAGGTCATAGAGAGGTGGGCATGGACACCAACAGAGAGGTCATAGAGAGGTGGGCATGGGCACCAACAGAGAGGTCATAGAGAGGTGGGCATGGGCACCAACAGAGAGGTCATAGAGAGGTGGGCATGAGCACCAACAGAGAGGTCAGAGAGAAGTCAGAGAGGTGGGCATGGGCACCAACAGAGAGGTCATAGAGAGGTGGGCATGGGCACCAACAGAGAGGTCAGAGAGAGGTGGGCATGAGCACCAACAGAGAGGTCAGAGAGGTGGGCATGGGCACCAACAGAGAGGTCAGAGAGAGGTGGGCATGGGCACCAACAGAGAGGTCATAGAGAGGTGGGCATGAACACCAACAGAGAGGTCAGAGAGAGGTGGGCATGGGCACCAACAGAGAGGTCAGAGAGAGGTGGGCATGGGCACCAACAGAGAGGTCAGAGAGGTGGGCATGGGCACCAACAGAGGTCAGAGAGAGGTGGGCATGGGCACCAACAGAGAGGTCAGAAAGAGGTGGGCATGAGCACCAACAGAGAGGTCAGAGAGAGGTGGGCATGGGCACCAACAGAGAGGTCAGAGAGAGGTGGGCATGGGCACCAACAGAGAGGTCAGAGAGAGGTGGGCATGGGCACCAACAGAGAGGTCAGAGAGAGGTGGGCATGGGGCACCAACAGAGAGGTCAGAGAGAGGTGGGCAAGGGCACCAACAGAGAGGTCAGAGAGAGGTGGGCATGGGCACCAACAGAGAGGTCAGAGAGGTGGGCATGGGCACCAACAGAGAGGTCAGAGAGAGGTGGGCATGGTTCCTAACCGACGACGAAGACTTGATAGCTTACAGTATTGGTACAGAATGAGTTATTGACAGTACACTCTGTTCTATGCTTAGAATTGACAGAAAACCCCATAGTGGTGCGGTGGACGTGTGCTGACCGACCAGCAAGAGAGGGCAGTGGTGGAAATGGCGAGGGCCAGGAATGATATACTGCTGTCAGGAATAAAGCAGGCAATTGAGGAGAACAATGACACCTTTGCCAATGTGCCATCCATCAGCCTGCCAACAGTAGGCCACCTTTTAAACAGGCACCAGGTGTCAATGAAACAAATTCACCTGGTGCCTTTTGAGAGAAACAATGACTGGGTGAAACAACTAAGGGCTGAGTATGTTCAGGTACAGCACTATATGTTGTATTACTGTTACTATTTGATGCATCACTTACGTCATGTATATTGGAACAACACTGTAAACAGAACTAACCAAAATATATTTTTTAGAGGGTTATGGTGCTTGACGCTAATGTGAACCATCACAAGTACATTTTTGTTGATGAAGCGGGCTTTAACCTGGCCAAACCTCGACACCGTGGACGGAGCATCATCGCCAACGGGCCACTGCCCAAGTGGAGGACACATCAGCTGTCTCTGAAGATGGTGGAAGGCCTATGATCGCCAAGCCCTGGAGCGCGCCACCCTCCTTCAGATGCATGTGATGACATCAGTGTACCAATGTCAAGCATCGATTCGTCACGCCAAAAGATTTTTTCCAAGGTGCGTGAACAATGATAACATTCATTGTGATGTGGACGAGAATCTATGGCCAAATGCTCAAGACAGGCTTGATCCAAATTAATGTAACGTGTGCACTAAATGTTATGTTTTGTTCTCATTTAGTTACATTTCATTATAGAAAGTATACCTATGTTACAATTATATCTGAAAAATAAAAACTAATTCGCCCAAATGATTGTAGAGGATGTCTTCATTGATCCTTCACTTGATTACACATAGGATGGATATTTTGGAAATTATAGATTATGTAAATGTTGGGTAATGTAAGTGTATTGCCTAATGTGAAAACTGTGTAATCTGTCTTTTATACTGTAGCATATTCATTTCAGCACTTCTATGGCCGATTCGAAACATGTATCTTGCATTGTTTGCTGTTGGATGAACTGATTGTTTAAAGTACTAAACTGAAAGAAGATCATACTGTTGTGTTTTGGGGATTAAACCAAATGTTCTCATTACATATTACAATCTTGTGTTTGAAACAATGATTAAACATGTGCAACTGACTGAAAGCATTGCATCAGGTTTTGAAAGAATGTATAGCTGCGTTACACGTGTGATGAGTTTGGATTTTTGTAGGCCTACTAAGAGTTTTGAAAATGTACACCTTACTTGTGAAAATAGTACCAAAGCGAATAAAAAAACTGTAACAAGCCATGATGTGCATTTAGTCATTGTGCAAATTGTAGACTATTGTACTTACTCTTTTGCACACGTGTGCAACACATGCAATTTGCTTAAATCAATAGGAAATTCAAGGGGGATTTTTTTGAGGGGGGGAAAGGTCTCATTTAAGAATTAAGCCAAAGCGATTGAGAAAAACTGTAAGATATATTCTATTATAGCGCTATTCTAATGTTGTCATAGAACTGGGTAACAATTATAAAACATACATATTTATTTACATTACACAACTTTAAGGAGCGAGAGTGGAAAATCACTGCTAGAACGGACTCGAGCTGTGTGTTCGGCGGGTGCGCGAGTGGGCGGAGCTAGTCTGTGATTGGCCAGAGGAGCAGCGTGTCGTCAATCGTCAGAGGCGGAAGTTCAGAGGTCGTGCGAAATCACGGATGTCACTGTAAACATCGAGTTTACATCGCGTTTACTGTGTTTACTGTGTTTACTGTGTTTGATCTGATCTGAACTGAAGAACTGTGGATGCTGTGCTTTACTGAAAGGGATGAATGTCTTCACGGCTGATATTTACGAACACAGTCACTCCTGCAAACGTTAAGCGCTGAAGTGAGTAAATAAATGACACACACACACACACACACACACACACACGAGTATTGGACGCGGGTAGTTGTTTTGCTGCTGTAATGATCGTGTGACAGATGATGGTCACTGCTGTATGATCCATTCATCAACAAGTGTGAGCTTCATAACCCTTCATAGACCTTTATAACCCTTCATAAGCCTTCATAACCCTTGGTCTGCTGTTGTCAGGTGTTTATTCTGGTGGGTTTTCATTGAAACACAAACTGCTCATATATCCATCCAAATCATATATCCATATACCATAAACTGTCCTGATTCTGTGCTCGATCTGATTCGTCATTGATGATCAAGACTAGTATTCTCATCTGAGCTTGAGGAGTGTGTTCTGGCTCTCAATACCAACAAAATTAAAGGCCACTTAAATCGACTAACAAGTGTAGCAACATTTTAAAAGTGCACTTTGTAATAATATCAAATCAATAGTATTTTAAGAGAAGTGCACTTGTTTTGATGAGTTGACTAGCGTATGATTAACTGTAGTGTTATTTGATGCCTGTGAATGATTCTGCATTTTTTCATCCTGCTGAAATATTCATCATTTATTTCTTGGTTAAAAGCATCTTGTATAGGAAGACGTGTTTAGGGTTTGATTTATCAATAATCATGATTGAATCTGTATTTATAGACACATTTGTTCCCTTCAAATGGTTGGAGTCTCTTCAGGTACAAATGTTTTCGCAATTGGCAATTCACAATTAATTACACTTATGAAAAGGTGCTCACTTGGCAGTGTTCACTATACGCTTCTTGAGAAGTGGCATGATAGGAGATCTGTGAAAGAAAGCAAGAAATAGTTGATGGAGCTGAGTTCCAGATCCGCAGACACACAACACCGACCACATGGATCTTTAGCCTGTTAATCTTCTTTAATGTCTTTAAATCCCACGCTTCTTGTCAGGTTAGACCGTATTCCTGATGCTTTGGCCGATGGAACGCTCATGAGATCTTTCATATTCCTGCGACACAGAATACATAGATCTAAATCTGGAGGATCGTTCTTTTTTTTTATTACAGATTTAGATAACCCAGGATTAAGCCTTAGACATTTAAGGTTAAGCTTTTATAAACGTGCCTAAGGATCCACCGATATGAACATTTTGGCCGATACCGATAATTCTTTAGATTTGAAAGCTGATAACCGATATATTGGCCGATAAATCTTAATCCAAATTTTTATATAATATTTGAGAGCCTGATTACAAAAACAAAAGTCTCACCATTAACAGCCACGTCCCAAACACACATTTATGATGTTCTCATTATGTTCATACATAATGTTATGTAGCCGATATGACAGACTTGCGCTGCACATGTTGCTCTGGACTGTATTTTCCTTTTTGAAGTGATTTCAATCATATTTCAAGCGATTCAAACCCATCATGTTGAACAGTGCGCATCTGAAGCGTCTCAGCCGAAGGAAATATTAATCAGCCATTTTTTATCAGCCAGACTGTAAGAGCCAGCTCAGGGTGTCCCTCATCAAAGCCGGGTCGCTGGTGTGTGTGTGTGTGTGTGCGTGTGTGTGTGTGTGAGTGTAGCATGTACAGAGTCAGAGTGTGTGTGTGTGTGTGTGTGTGTGTGAGTGTAGCATGTACAGAGTGTGTGTCTGTGTGTGTGAGTGTAGCATGTACAGAGTGTGTGTGTGTGTGTGTGTGTGTCTGTGTAGCATGTACAGAGTGTGTGTCTGTGTGTGTGTGTGTGTGTGTGTGAGTGTAGCATGTACAGAGTGTGTGTCTGTGTGTGTGTGTGTAGCATGTACAGAGTGTGTGTGTGTGTGTGTGTGTGTGTGTGTAGCATGTACAGAGTGAACAGCAGCGGTCCTAGTACTGAGCCTTGTGGTACGCCATACTGAACTTGTGATCGATAAGACATCTCTTCGTTTACTGCTAAACTGATAACGGTCAGATAAGTGTGATTTAAACCATGCTAGTGCAACTCCACTAATGCCAACATCATTCGAGTCTATTTAAAAGAATGTTGTGGTCAATAGTATCAAATGCAGCACTAAGATCGAGTAACACTAGAGAGATACAACCACGATCGGATGATAAGAGCAATCAGAGTACACTGCACTGTCTGATGCGATACTGTTGTAGACGGTTGCATAGTTATAATTTTGTCCCTGATATTATCGATCTTATAAGTGAAGAAGTTCATAAAGTCATTACTGCTGTGCTGCTTGGACACTTCTGAGCTTGAGGCTTTATTTTTCGTTAGTTTAGCCATTTTGCTGTACGGAGTAGAGACGTGGACACTAACAACAACAGCAACAAAAAGGCTCGAAGCTTTCGAAATGTGGCTGTATCGAAGAATGCTGAAAATCCCATGGACAGCCAAAACCACCAATACACAAGTTCTGCAGGACATGGGCACTGACAGGCACTGCTGAAGACCATCATTAGCAGGAAGGGTCACTACTTAGGCCACATTGCCCGAAACAACCACGAATACTCACAAATACAAATACTTTTGCTCCATGTTTCTGGCTGCTCTCTTAAAGGAGCTGTATGTAAGAAATTTATTTCATTTAATCATAAAATGGCCCTGAAATGTCACTAGACATTAAGAAATCATGTACATTTCAAATACTTATATCACTGACAACAGTAGTCCGGCCAGGATATTGTCATTTAAAAAGTGCAGTTGCAGCCCTCAACTGATGTTGATGTTGTCATGTTGTGTTTTGCTCTGATGCTCCACCCTCCACCTATCTACCAATCACGAAGTCAGTAGTGTTGCGGCATCCGGGTTGCCAGCTCTGCTCTAGTTACCACAGCTGCAGCTCGTCACGTTCCAGCTGGATCCTGCAGCCAATCTGGCAACCTCGAGTCAGGGAGGAGGGGGAGGGGATACACCACTCTACAGTAATTTGACAGTGATTGCAGTACTAGTTTTGGCCACAATCTTACATACAGCTCCTTTAAGGGCCTGAGTGTGTGTGTGTGTGTGTGTGTGTGCTCGTTGTACCACGGCGTTGGACTATTTCCTTTAAGCTTTAAGCGCAACGGAGCAACTGCGTCTAAAGTGCTGGAAAAGAGAGTTAAAAGTGTCTGTCGCAATATCGAGTTCTTCTAAGCTATCTGGGATGCTGAGATGATGAAACTGATTAGGAAGGGTTATTGATAAAGCAATCTTTAGTGGCAGAAGTTATAGGTCTAACATATTTATAACACGGAGTCGGCTTTGCAGCCTTGGCTAAATGAAGTTTACATGAGACTAGATAATGATCTGAGATGTCATCGCTCTGCTGCAGAATCATTTATACTATATAGTGTTACATTAAGCACCAACACTTCAAAAGAATTACATTTGAAACTAGACTTTTTGGTAATTTTGAAAATATTACTATAAATCACAGCAACACCTCCCCCTTTGCCTTTCAGACGAGGCTCATGTTTATAACAGTAATCTTGCGGGGTGGACTCGTAATGTAATCGTCTGGTTTTAGGCAGGTTTCTGTCAGACACAGCACGTCTAGGTTATAGCCTGTAATCGCACTGTGTGCAGGATGATGCCGCTGTCCGCCAGAGGCCTGTGTTTCCTCCTCACGCTGTTCCTGGGCAGCTTCTTCGGGAGTGTGTTCCTGCTGGGTCCGGTTCTGCCGCTCATGCTGGTGTCGCCGGCCTGGTACCGCTGGATCACGGACCGCATCGTGGCCACATGGCTCACGCTCCCCGTGGTACGGCACTCCACGTGCAGATTAAGGGCCGGGAATATTATAATAAGATCCTCTTCCTACGTCAGAAGGAGAGCGAAATCTGATCGGCTAATTTTGGACATGATATGAGATGATATTTTCATGATATGTCTTCCTCATTTTTATTCAACTCAAGGCACCAGTGTGGTGTGTGTGTGTGTGTGTGTGTGTTTGCAGGCGCTGCTGGAGCTGGTGTTCGGGGTGAAGGTGGTCATCACGGGCGACGGCTTCGTTCCCGGCGAGCGCAGCGTCATCATCATGAACCACCGCACGCGTCTGGACTGGATGTTCCTGTGGTGTTGTCTCCTGCGCTTCAGTTTCCTGCGTCTGGAGAAGATCTGCCTCAAGGCCGCGCTCAAGGCCGTGCCCGGCTTCGGTGAGCCCGCGCCCCAGCCACCCACACACACTACGAGAAAAGAGTAGGCAAGCTCCGAACTGGCCTGTCATCATCTCGTCACAGAGCAAATCTTCCATTCAATCTAATTTAATTTCCTACCGTTTCAGAGAGAAATGTTGTAGACTGTAGATCTCACGCGGAGACTCTCCTCATCTTTATCTAACCCTCTCTCCATAACCGCCGGACTCGCGCGTCCTCCATGTCTGTAGTTTTTTTAACACTTTTTACTCATGTTTGTAGTTCCAATCGAATCCTCTCGTCCACAGCGCAATGGGTTGTGGGTAATATTAGCCGTTAGCGTGTTCACATATCTGCGCTTCGGATTCTAACCGGGAAAAGTAGACCATCCGAGTATCTTTGGAATACGCATTTCAACATACTACGATTTGGGACGTACTAATTCTATTTAAGACTGATAGTATGCGAATTGGGACGCACCGCCAGACTTCTGATGAACGCCGGCTGTGTTCAGGCCAAGCAGCACCTCTCTCTCTCTCTCTCTCTCTCTCTCTCTCTCTCTCTCTCTCTCTCTCTCTCAACACTGAGTGAGTTAAACTGCAGTTCCTCCACTGGCCACTAGAGGCCGGCTGCAGAAGAGACTCACTCCCATAGACCCGCATGTTAAAATGCCCAACTTTACAGCAGAAAAGTTTGAAAAAAATATAGTCTGGTGCTAAAAGTGGTTTGGTCTATATCGCTAGTTTTGCTCTTCATGACGACTGTGAGGGGGTGAATATTTTTATAACTCATCCGTTTAAATTATATTAAGCCTTAAAGTTGTGCATAATTAAGGGCGTGGCCACTTGAGTGACTGGTGGATTGCCGCTGATGTCACTGCTAGCCGTTTGTCTGCTGTGTGTTAGCATCACGTGACCTCAGCTAATCCGCCTCGCTGCACATTCGTTTATCCGGGAGTGACGCGAAAACAAGATGGCGACGGCCGGCTCCGCCCACTGTGGGCTTCAAAAACGCTCTTCAGAAACACTACGGGTGACGTCACACACACTGCGCACATATGTTATACAGTCTATGGTCCAGGCTGCTATAGAGAGAATGTGTGTGTGTGTGTGTGTGTGTGTGTGCGCAGGCTGGGCGATGCAAGTGGCCTCCTTCATCTTCATCCACCGCCGCTGGGAGGAAGATCGCACACACATGTCCAACATGCTTCAGTATTTCTGCCACATCAAGGAGCCGCTGCAGCTCCTGCTGTTCCCCGAAGGCACCGACCTCACCGGTGAGACACACACACACACAGACACACACACACACACACACACACACACACACACACACACACACACACACACAGACACTGGAGCACTGACCTCACCGGTGAGACACACACACACACACACACACACACACACACACACACACACACACACAGACACTGCAGCACTGACCTCACCGGTGAGACACACACACACACACACACACACACACACACACACACACACACACACACACACACACACACAGACACTGCAGCACTGACCTCACCGGTGAGACACACACACACACACACACACACACACAGACACTGCAGCACTGACCTCACCGGTGAGACACACACACACACAGACACACACACACACACACACACACACACAGACACTGCAGCACTGACCTCACCGGTGAGACACACACACACACACACACACACACACACACACACACACACACACAGACACTGCAGCTCTGACCTCACCGGTGAGACACACACACACACACACACACACACAGACACTGCAGCACTGACCTCACCGGTGAGACACACACACACACACACACACACACACACACACACACACACATAAATGCCATAAGATATTAAGTCTTGTTTTCTGAAGAAATAAATCAAAATTAAGTGAGTTTTTGCTTAAAACAAGCTAAATTATGCTGCAGCTTAATTTTGATTTATTTCCCCAGAAAACAAGACTCTATATCTTATGGCATTTCACTCATCTAGTAAATGCATCTTGATTTAAGAATTTTTAGATATTTGGACTGGAAACAAGACAAAAACACTAAGTGAGAAAAGCAGACGGAGATGAACCCAGCTCTCTCTCGCTGTGTGCCTGTATGATGCTCTCGCTGTGTGCTGGGTGATGCTCTCGCTGTGTGCTGGGTGATGCTCTCGCTGTGTGCTGGGTGATGCTCTGTGTGCTGGGTGATGCTCTGTGTGCTGGGTGATGCTCTGTGTGCTGGGTGATGCTCTCGCTGTGTGCTGGGTGATGCTCTCGCTGTGTGCTGGGTGATGCTCTGTGTGCTGGGTGATGCTCTCGCTGTGTGCCTGTATGATGCTCTCGCTGTGTGCTGGGTGATGCTCTGTGTGCTGGGTGATGCTCTGTGTGCTGGGTGATGCTCTCGCTGTGTGCTGGGTGATGCTCTGTGTGCTGGGTGATGCTCTGTGTGCTGGGTGATGCTCTCGCTGTGTGCTGGGTGATGCTCTCGCTGTGTTCTGGGTGATGCTCTGTGTGCTGGGTGATGCTCTGTGTGCTGGGTGATGCTCTGTGTGCTGGGTGATGCTCTCGCTGTGTGCTGGGTGATGCTCTGTGTGCTGGGTGATGCTCTCGCTGTGTGCTGGGTGATGCTCTCGCTGTGTGCTGGGTGATGCTCTGTGTGCTGGGTGATGCTCTGTGTGCTGGGTGATGCTCTCGCTGTGTGCTGGGTGATGCTCTGTGTGCTGGGTGATGCTCTGTGTGCTGGGTGATGCTCTCGCTGTGTGCTGGGTGATGCTCTGTGTGCTGGGTGATGCTCTGTGTGCTGGGTGATGCTCTCGCTGTGTGCTGGGTGATGCTCTGTGTGCTGGGTGATGCTCTCGCTGTGTGCTGGGTGATGCTCTGTGTGCTGGGTGATGCTCTGTGTGCTGGGTGATGCTCTGTGTGCTGGGTGATGCTCTGTGTGCTGGGTGATGCTCTCGCTGTGTTCTGGGTGATGCTCTGTGTGCTGGGTGATGCTCTGTGTGCTGGGTGATGCTCTGTGTGCTGGGTGATGCTCTGTGTGCTGGGTGATGCTCTGTGTGCTGGGTGATGCTCTCGCTGTGTGCTGGGTGATGCTCTGTGTGCTGGGTGATGCTCTCGCTGTGTGCTGGGTGATGCTCTCGCTGTGTGCTGGGTGATGCTCTGTGTGCTGGGTGATGCTCTGTGTGCTGGGTGATGCTCTGTGTGCTGGGTGATGCTCTGTGTGCTGGGTGATGCTCTCGCTGTGTGCTGGGTGATGCTCTGTGTGCTGGGTGATGCTCTCGCTGTGTGCTGGGTGATGCTCTGTGTGCTGGGTGATGCTCTGTGTGCTGGGTGATGCTCTGTGTGCTGGGTGATGCTCTCGCTGTGTGCTGGGTGATGCTCTGTGTGCTGGGTGATGCTCTGTGTGCTGGGTGATGCTCTGTGTGCTGGGTGATGCTCTGTGTGCTGGGTGATGCTCTGTGTGCTGGGTGATGCTCTGTGTGCTGGGTGATGCTCTCGCTGTGTGCTGGGTGATGTCAGTCACAGAGGGGATGTTTAACTCGGATCATGTGATTATTGAAGTATGATCCTGGATTCAGCTCCGGCTCTTCGTTGTTGCGTGCAGAAAACACTCGAGCCAGGAGTGACGAGTTTGCAGAGAAGAACGGTCTTCCGAAGTACGAGTTCGTTCTTCATCCTCGTACCACCGGCTTCACCTTCATCGTTGACACGCTGCGGAAAGGTCAGAGGTCATCATATATACACACCTTTTCTGAATATAATCATATGGGGGCTTCGCTACTGCAAAAACAGAGTTCTGTTGAAACATTAGTTTTGATCAAATATAGATTTGCTGTTTTCATCACAGCCTTTGCCGGCGTCTCATTTTACCTGGATATGTGGGTGTCCATCATTAACTGATCCAGACTAAACCGGTTACCAGCTGATATCTGAACCAACAGCACGTCTCACACACATTCTGTTCCACCCATACAACACATAACACACATTCAAAGTATATTATTGCCTCTTGATATATTAGGACAAACTATGATGCTTTTCCCATGTTCATCTGTCTTCAGTGTGTAATGTTGCTGTTCTCCTCTATATCAGTGTCAGTGTTCCTGAACTCCTGAAACGCCTCCATTAGTCTTGAATTTCCCCGGGAATGAACACGTCACAATATTCCTCATTATAATAATTCATACGCAGAATAAAGGGGTGGGGCCTGGTTGAGTTAGTTAGTAGTGTGTTAAACTGGCGGTTATGGAAAGGGCCGGGGCTTTCCCAAACACACTCAAAGCGCTCGACCAATCACAACACACTGCTCCAGCAATCAGAGCACAGTGTGCTTTTCAGGAGGAGGGGCTTCATAGAGACAGGAAGTAAACAGAGCGTTACTGACAGACTGGGAAGAGAGGAGCCGCAACAATGGAGAATATGAGGAAAATAATCAACATTCAAGCAGGAAAACCTGTTCTAGTAGAGCCTGAAACATCATCAAGATTGTAAAAGGGCAGAATAGGTCCTCTTTAAAAGTTGTATATATAGTGGATTCAAATTTACCTGCATTTATACAGTGCACTCATGTAAATAGATATACAGTCAAACCAAACATTATTCAGACATCAGATATCATTTTTGATATGTTTCACTAGTGTGATCAGGACACTATAGTGTATTTCTGTAAGTGAGGAGAGCAAAATAAAGGAAACTGAGACATATTATACACAATAACTCTTCACACAGTGACTACCAGTGACATTAATAAAGATGTGGGAGCAGAAATGATTCCTCCACTTTGAGCTGATGATGTTTTGCTGAAGTGTGTTTTCTGTAATTGCTAATGCTCTTTTTACACACACACTGAACAACATGAAGCATTGCTTGGTCACTGGTTGAGCTAAACTGGTATTATCTAATTGTGTAGTTAAATTTAACAGCTGACAGATATTCAACATAATTCATGTGTGAGAGTCTAACAGAAGGACGGACAAAACCAGTCAAATATCCACTGATCTGAGAACTGAGTTCGGCTCATATTTATCTCCATTTTCTAAACTAGTGAATAAACTGATAATGTGAGAAATGTTGAAGATGTCAGAATAATGTTGGTTTGACTGTACTGTATAGTAATTCTCGGCTGTGTGATTGATTATATTGTTGCAAAATGTATCTATATTATCGCAGAGCTCTAATCATGAAGATATTAAGATAGTATAATCATGATATTCTGTTAAGTGCTAATTGAATTCTGTTAACAGTAATGTTACGTTTGCGTTACTTTTTCTCACCTGCGCTGGGCTTGCTTGATTGTTATTTAATAACAACAAAAAAGGTGAAGTGAATAAGCCTTAGGCTGAAGGAAATGCACATTTACTCCTGTACACTAGAGTACAGTAGAGGCAGAGTACAGTAGAGTACAGTAGAGGCAGAGTACAGTAGAGTACAGTAGAGGCAGAGTACAGTAGAGGCAGAGTACAGTAGAGGCAGAGTACAGTAGAGGCAGAGTACAGTAGAGGCAGAGTACAGTAGAGGCAGAGTACAGTAGAGGCAGAGTACAGTAGAGGCAGAGTACAGTAGAGGCAGAGTACAGTAGAGGCAGAGTACAGTAGAGGCAGAGTACAGTAGAGGCAGAGTACAGCAGAGGCAGAGTACAGCAGAGGCAGAGTACAGCAGAGGCAGAGTACAGTAGAGGCAGAGTACAGTAGAGGCAGAGTACAGCAGAGGCAGAGTACAGCAGAGGCAGAGTACAGCAGAGGCAGAGTACAGCAGAGGCAGAGTACAGCAGAGGCAGAGTACAGCAGAGGCAGAGTACAGTAGAGGCAGAGTACAGTAGAGGCAGAGTACAGTAGAGGCAGAGTACAGTAGAGGCAGAGTACAGCAGAGGCAGAGTACAGCAGAGGCAGAGTACAGTAGAGGCAGAGTACAGTAGAGGCAGAGTACAGTAGAGGCAGAGTACAGTAGAGGCAGAGTACAGCAGAGGCAGAGTACAGCAGAGGCAGAGTACAGCAGAGGCAGAGTACAGTAGAGGCAGAGTACAGTAGAGGCAGAGTACAGTAGAGGCAGAGTACAGTAGAGGCAGAGTACAGTAGAGGCAGAGTACAGTAGAGGCAGAGTACAGTAGAGGCAGAGTACAGTAGAGGCAGAGTACAGCAGAGGCAGAGTACAGCAGAGGCAGAGTACAGCAGAGGCAGAGTACAGCAGAGGCAGAGTACAGCAGAGGCAGAGTACAGTAGAGTACAGTAGAGGCAGAGTACAGTAGAGGCAGAGTACAGCAGAGGCAGAGTACAGCAGAGTACAGTAGAGGCAGAGTACAGTAGAGGCAGAGTACAGCAGAGGCAGAGTACAGCAGAGGCAGAGTACAGCAGAGGCAGAGTACAGTAGAGGCAGAGTACAGCAGAGGCAGAGTACAGTAGAGGCAGAGTACAGTAGAGGCAGAGTACAGTAGAGGCAGAGTACAGTAGAGGCAGAGTACAGTAGAGGCAGAGTACAGCAGAGGCAGAGTACAGCAGAGGCAGAGTACAGTAGAGGCAGAGTACAGAGTACAGTAGAGGCAGAGTACAGTAGAGGCAGAGTACAGTAGCGGGAGAGTACAGTAGAGGCAGAGTACAGTAGAGGCAGAGTACAGTAGAGGCAGGAGTACAGTAGAGGCAGGAGTACAGTAGAGGCAGAGTACAGTAGAGGCAGAGTACAGTAGAGGCAGAGTACAGTAGAGGCAGAGTACAGTAGAGGCAGAGTACAGTAGAGGCAGAGTACAGAGTACAGTAGAGGCAGAGTACAGTAGAGGCAGAGTACAGTAGAGGCAGAGTACAGTAGAGGCAGAGTACAGCAGAGGCAGAGTACAGCAGAGGCAGAGTACAGCAGAGGCAGAGTACAGCAGAGGCAGAGTACAGCAGAGGCAGAGTACAGCAGAGGCAGAGTACAGCAGAGGCAGAGTACAGCAGAGGCAGAGTACAGTAGAGGCAGAGTACAGTAGAGGCAGAGTACAGTAGAGGCAGAGTACAGTAGAGGCAGAGTACAGTAGAGGCAGAGTACAGCAGAGGCAGAGTACAGCAGAGGCAGAGTACAGTAGAGGCAGAGTACAGAGTACAGTAGAGGCAGAGTACAGAGTACAGTAGAGGCAGAGTACAGTAGAGGCAGAGTACAGTAGCGGCAGAGTACAGTAGAGGCAGAGTACAGTAGAGGCAGAGTACAGTAGAGGCAGGAGTACAGTAGAGGCAGAGTACAGTAGAGGCAGAGTACAGTAGAGGCAGAGTACAGTAGAGGCAGAGTACAGTAGAGGCAGAGTACAGTAGAGGCAGAGTACAGAGTACAGTAGAGGCAGAGTACAGTAGAGGCAGAGTACAGTAGAGGCAGAGTACAGTAGAGGCAGAGTACAGCAGAGGCAGAGTACAGCAGAGGCAGAGTACAGTAGAGGCAGAGTACAGTAGAGGCAGAGTACAGTAGAGGCAGAGTACAGTAGAGGCAGAGTACAGTAGAGGCAGAGTACAGTAGAGGCAGAGTACAGTAGAGGCAGAGTACAGTAGAGGCAGAGTACAGTAGCGGGAGAGTACAGTAGAGGCAGAGTACAGTAGAGGCAGAGTACAGTAGAGGCAGGAGTACAGTAGAGGCAGGAGTACAGTAGAGGCAGAGTACAGTAGAGGCAGAGTACAGTAGAGGCAGAGTACAGCAGAGGCAGAGTACAGCAGAGGCAGAGTACAGCAGAGGCAGAGTACAGCAGAGGCAGAGTACAGCAGAGGCAGAGTACAGCAGAGGCAGAGTACAGCAGAGGCAGAGTACAGCAGAGGCAGAGTACAGCAGAGGCAGAGTACAGCAGAGGCAGAGTACAGCAGAGGCAGAGTACAGCAGAGGCAGAGTACAGCAGAGGCAGAGTACAGCAGAGGCAGAGTACAGCAGAGGCAGAGTACAGCAGAGGCAGAGTACAGCAGAGGCAGAGTACAGCAGAGGCAGAGTACAGCAGAGGCAGAGTACAGCAGAGGCAGAGTACAGCAGAGGCAGAGTACAGCAGAGGCAGAGTACAGCAGAGGCAGAGTACAGCAGAGGCAGAGTACAGCAGAGGCAGAGTACAGCAGAGGCAGAGTACAGCAGAGGCAGAGTACAGCAGAGGCAGAGTACAGCAGAGGCAGAGTACAGCAGAGGCAGAGTACAGCAGAGGCAGAGTACAGCAGAGGCAGAGTACAGCAGAGGCAGAGTACAGCAGAGGCAGAGTACAGCAGAGGCAGAGTACAGCAGAGGCAGAGTACAGCAGAGGCAGAGTACAGCAGAGGCAGAGTACAGCAGAGGCAGAGTACAGCAGAGGCAGAGTACAGCAGAGGCAGAGTACAGCAGAGGCAGAGTACAGCAGAGGCAGAGTACAGCAGAGGCAGAGTACAGCAGAGGCAGAGTACAGCAGAGGCAGAGTACAGCAGAGGCAGAGTACAGCAGAGGCAGAGTACAGCAGAGGCAGAGTACAGCAGAGGCAGAGTACAGCAGAGGCAGAGTACAGCAGAGGCAGAGTACAGTAGAGTACAGCAGAGGCAGAGTACAGCAGAGGCAGAGTACAGCAGAGGCAGAGTACAGCAGAGGCAGAGTACAGTAGAGGCAGAGGCAGAGTACAGTAGAGGCAGAGGCAGAGTACAGTAGAGGCAGAGTACAGTAGAGGCAGAGTACAGCAGAGGCAGAGTACAGCAGAGGCAGAGTACAGCAGAGGCAGAGTACAGCAGAGGCAGAGTACAGCAGAGGCAGAGTACAGTAGAGGCAGAGGCAGAGGACAGTAGAGGTAGAGGCAGAGTACAGTAGAGGCAGAGTACAGTAGAGGCAGAGTACAGTAGAGGCAGAGTACAGTAGAGGCAGAGTACAGTAGAGGCAGAGTACAGTAGAGGCAGAGTACAGTAGAGGCAGAGTACAGTAGAGGCAGAGTACAGTAGAGGCAGAGTACAGTAGAGGCAGAGTACAGTAGAGGCAGAGTACAGTAGAGGCAGAGTACAGTAGAGGCAGAGTACAGTAGAGGCAGAGTACAGTAAAGTACAGCAGAGGCAGAGTACAGCAGAGGCAGAGTACAGCAGAGGCAGAGTACAGCAGAGGCAGAGTACAGTAGAGGCAGAGTACAGTAAAGTACAGTAGAGGCAGAGTACAGTAGAGGCAGAGTACAGTAGAGGCAGAGTACAGTAGAGGCAGAGTACAGTAGAGGCAGAGTACAGTAGAGGCAGAGTACAGCAGAGGCAGAGTACAGCAGAGGCAGAGTACAGCAGAGGCAGAGTACAGCAGAGGCAGAGTACAGCAGAGGCAGAGTACAGCAGAGGCAGAGTACAGCAGAGGCAGAGTACAGCAGAGGCAGAGTACAGCAGAGGCAGAGTACAGCAGAGGCAGAGTACAGCAGAGGCAGAGTACAGCAGAGGCAGAGTACAGCAGAGGCAGAGTACAGCAGAGGCAGAGTACAGCAGAGGCAGAGTACAGCAGAGGCAGAGTACAGCAGAGGCAGAGTACAGCAGAGGCAGAGTACAGCAGAGGCAGAGTACAGCAGAGGCAGAGTACAGCAGAGGCAGAGTACAGCAGAGGCAGAGTACAGCAGAGGCAGAGTACAGTAGAGGCAGAGTACAGCAGAGGCAGAGTACAGCAGAGGCAGAGTACAGCAGAGGCAGAGTACAGTAGAGTACAGTAGAGGCAGAGTACAGTAGAGGCAGAGTACAGTAGAGGCAGAGTACAGTAGAGTACAGTAGAGGCAGAGTACAGTAGAGGCAGAGTACAGTAGCGGGAGAGTACAGTAGAGGCAGAGTACAGTAGAGGCAGAGTACAGTAGAGGCAGAGTACAGTAGAGGCAGAGTACAGTAGAGGCAGAGTACAGTAGAGGCAGAGTACAGCAGAGGCAGAGGCAGAGTACAGCAGAGGTAGAGTACAGTAGAGTACAGTAGAGTACAGTAGAGGCAGAGTACAGTAGAGGCAGAGTACAGTAGAGGCAGAGTACAGTAGAGGCAGAGTACAGTAGAGGCAGAGTACAGTAGAGTACAGTAGAGGCAGAGTACAGTAGAGGCAGAGTACAGTAGAGGCAGAGTACAGTAGAGGCAGAGTACAGTAGAGGCAGAGTACAGTAGAGGCAGAGGCAGAGTACAGTAGAGGCAGAGGCAGAGTACAGTAGAGGCAGAGGTAGAGTACAGTAGAGGCAGAGTACAGTAGAGTACAGTAGAGGCAGAGTACAGTAGAGGCAGAGTACAGTAGAGGCAGAGTACAGTAGAGGCAGAGTACAGTAGAGGCAGAGTACAGTAGAGGCAGAGTACAGCAGAGGCAGAGGCAGAGTACAGCAGAGGTAGAGTACAGTAGAGTACAGTAGAGTACAGTAGAGGCAGAGTACAGTAGAGGCAGAGTACAGTAGAGGCAGAGTACAGTAGAGGCAGAGTACAGTAGAGGCAGAGTACAGTAGAGTACAGTAGAGGCAGAGTACAGTAGAGGCAGAGTACAGTAGAGGCAGAGTACAGTAGAGGCAGAGTACAGTAGAGGCAGAGTACAGTAGAGGCAGAGTACAGTAGAGGCAGAGGCAGAGTACAGTAGAGGCAGAGGCAGAGTACAGTAGAGGCAGAGGTAGAGTACAGTAGAGGCAGAGTACAGTAGAGGCAGAGTACAGTAGAGGCAGACTACAGTAGAGGCAGACTACAGTAGAGGCAGAGTACAGTGGAGGCAGAGTACAGTAGACTACAGTAGAGGCAGAGTACAGTAGAGGCAGAGTACAGTAGAGGTAGAGGTAGAGTACAGTAGAGTACAGTAGAGGCAGAGTACAGTAGAGGCAGAGTACAGTAGAGTACAGTAGAGGTAGAGTGCAGTAGAGTACAGTAGAGGCAGAGTACAGTAGAGTACAGTAGAGGTAGAGTGCAGTAGAGTACAGTAGAGGCAGAGTACAGTAGAGGCAGAGGCAGAGTACAGTAGAGGCAGAGTACAGTAGAGTACAGTAGAGGTAGAGTACAGTAGAGGCAGAGTACAGTAGAGTACAGTAGAGGTAGAGTACAGTAGAGTGCAGTAGAGGCAGAGTACAGTAGAGGCAGAGGCAGAGTACAGTAGAGGCAGAGTACAGTAGAGGCAGAGTACAGTAGAGTACAGTAGAGTACAGTAGAGTACAGTAGAGGCAGAGTACAGTAGAGGCAGAGTACAGTAGAGGCAGAGGTAGAGTACAGCAGAGGCAGAGTACAGTAGAGTACAGTAGAGGCAGAGTACAGTAGAGGCAGAGTACAGTAGAGGCAGAGTACAGTAGAGGCAGAGTACAGTAGAGTACAGTAGAGGCAGAGTACAGTAGAGTACAGTAGCGGGAGAGTACAGTAGAGGCAGAGTACAGTAGAGTACACTAGAGCACGGTAGCGGGGGAGTACAGTAGAGTACAGTAGCGGGAGAGTACACTAGAGTACAGTAGAGGTAGAGTACAGTAGAGTACAGTGGAGTACAGTAGCGGGAGAGTACACTAGAGCACAGTAGAGGCAGAGTACAGTAGAGCACAGTAGAGTACAGTAGCGGGAGAGTACAGTAGAGTAAAGTAGCGGGAGAGTACACCAGAGTACAGTAGAGGCAGAGTACAGTAGAGTACAGTAGCGGGAGAGTACAGTAGAGGCAGAGTACAGTAGAGTACAGTAGAGGTAGAGTACAGTGGCATACAGTAGTGTACAGTAGAGTACTCACACGCGCACACACACACACACCTGCTCAGTTTATTTTTCTCAACATGTGGACAGGAGAGCTGTCAGTCAATAAATGTGAAGAAGTATCTAGCCTTACTTATTTGAAAAAGCACATTTTTGTTGTAAATTGAAAAAGTAATGCGTTACTTTACTAGTTACTTGGAAAAGTAATCTGACTACGTAACTCAAGTTACTTGTAATGAGTTACACACAACACTGATTAGATTATTTCCCCTGGCAGGAGATAACCTGGACGCGGTCCACGATATAACGGTGGCGTATCCACAGAACATCCCTCAGACTGAGCGGCACCTGGTTCTGGGTCTGTTTCCCCGGGAGATCCACTTCCACGTGCGGCGCTACGGTGTGTCGGTTCTGCCCAGATGTGCACCGGATCTGCAGCTGTGGTGTCAGGAGCGCTGGCGGGAGAAGGAGAACCGGCTCAGCGAGTTCTACCGGGCCGACCCGCGCCGCTTCGACGAGCCCGAGGCCCGCGTGCCGCCCTGTAAGAGCCAACTCAGGGTGTCCCTCATCAAAGCCGGGTCGCTGGTGTTCTGGACCGGCTTCATCAGCGCCTCCTGCCTCGGCCTGTGGCTCTGGGCTCCCTTACGCATCTACTTCCTGCTCATGGTGATCTTCTTCCTGGGTCAGCAGAGGGTCACGGGGGGGGTGGAGCTGATGGAGCTAGCGTGTCACCGCTACTGGAGCTCGCAGGGAGGAGGAGTGGAGGAGAAGGAGGAGTGAGGAGAGGCTGGTGTGTGTGTTAGCGTGTTAGCGATCGGCCACAGCGCCTCCTGCTGGCGAGAGGACGAAGCGCAGCTCCTAATGTGAGACTCGCACAGAGGGATTCCACTCATTCTCTGACATTATAAACGCATCATGCGAGCGCTGGCTGTACATTTATCACTGTGCGAACGAATGTCATGCCTGTGGAAGCTTGTTCCATCATGGAGTTAAAAAAAGGTAATTGCAACTTTTTCTCTCAGAAAAAGAACACTCAGAATTGTGAGATTTGCAATTTGTGAGAAAAAAGTTGCAATTACCTTTATCCTGTGGTGAAAGCAAGATGACAGAATTGAGAGACAAAGTCAAAATTGCAAAATGTAAACGCAATTCTGAAAAAAAAATGTTGCAAGATATAAATGCGCAGTTGTGAGAGAGAAAAAATCGCGATTATCGTTGTTATTTTTTATTCAGTGGCAGAAACAAGCTTCCATACGTACCTGAGGCCTCGTCTGTTAGTGTCTCTCTCCTATTCCCTCCTTTCACTCTCAGTCTCGCTTGTTTCCTCGTGTTTTAGTAGCTCAGTCCAGCCCCGCACATGACATGCGGACAAAAATATATATATCATGGACACGATAATCATTCGTTCCCTCATTTTACTAAATCATGCGCATGAATAATTCATTCCCTCGTTTAACTAAATCGTGTGCACAATGTAATAATTTGTTTCCTCGTTTTAAGTAAATCGCGCACACAATATAATAATTAATTCCCCCGTTTTAAGTAAATCGCGCACACAATATAATTCGTTCCCCCGTTTTAAGTAAATCGCGCACACAATATAATAGTTCGTTCCCTCGTTTTAAGTAAATCGCGCACACAATATAATAATTCGTTCCCCCGTTTTAAGTAAATCACACACACAATATAATAGTTCGTTCCCCCGTTTTAAGTAAATCACACACACAATATAATAATTCGTTCCCCCGTTTTAAGTAAATCGCGCACACAATATAATAGTTCGTTCCCCCGTTTTAAGTAAATCACACACACAATATAATAGTTCGTTCCCCCATTTTAAGTAAATCACACACACAATAAAATAATTCGTTCCCCCGTTTTAAGTAAATCACACACACAATATAATAGTTCGTTCCCCCATTTTAAGTAAATCGCGCACACAATATAATAATTCGTTCCCCCGTTTTAAGTAAATCGCGCACACAATATAATAGTTCGTTCCCCCGTTTTAAGTAAATCACACACACAATATAATAATTCGTTCCCCCGTTTTAAGTAAATCGCGCACACAATATAATAATTCGTTCCCCCGTTTTAAGTAAATCACACACACAATATAATAATCCGTTCCCCCGTTTTAAGTAAATCGCACACACAATATAATAGTTCGTTCCCCCATTTTAAGTAAATCACACACACAATATAATAATTCGTTCCCCCGTTTTAAGTAAATCACACACACAATATAATAATTCGTTCCCCCGTTTTAAGTAAATCGCACACACAATATAATAGTTCGTTCCCCCATTTTAAGTAAATCGCGCACACAATATAATAGTTCGTTCCCTCGTTTTAAGTAAATCGCGCACACAATATAATAGTTCGTTCCCCCCTTTTAAGTAAATCGCGCACACAATATAATAATTCGTTCCCCCGTTTTAAGTAAATCACACACACAATATAATAATTCGTTCCCCCGTTTTAAGTAAATCACGCACACAATATAATAATTCGTTCCCCCATTTTAAGTAAATCGCACACACAATATAATAGTTCGTTCCCCCGTTTTAAGTAAATCGCGCACACAATATAATAGTTCGTTCCCCATTTTAAGTAAATCGTGCACACAATATAATAATCCGTTCCCCCGTTTTAAGTAAATCGCGCAATGTTTTAAGTAAATCGCGCACACAATATAATAGTTCGTTCCCCCCTTTTAAGTAAATCGCGCACACAATATAATAGTTCGTTCCCCCATTTTAAGTAAATCGCGGACACAATCTAATAATTCGTTCCCCCGTTTTAAGTAAATCGCGCACACAATATAATAATTCGTTCCTCCGTTTTAAGTAAATCGCGCACACAATATAATAGTTCGTTCCCCCATTTTAAGTAAATCGCGCACACAATATAATTCGTTCCCCCATTTTAAGTAAATCGCGCACACAATATAATAATTCGTTCCCCGTTTTAAGTAAATCGCGCACACAATATAATAATTCGTTCCTCCGTTTTAAGTAAATCGCGCACACAATATAATAGTTCGTTCCCCCATTTTAAGTAAATCGCACACACAATATAATAGTTCGTTCCCCCGTTTTAAGTAAATCGCGCACACAATATAATAGTTCGTTCCCCGTTTTAAGTAAATCGTGCACACAATATAATAATCCGTTCCCCCGTTTTAAGTAAATCGCGCAATGTTTTAAGTAAATCGCGCACACAATATAATAGTTCGTTCCCCCGTTTTAAGTAAATCGCGCACACAATATAATTCGTTCCCCCATTTTAAGTAAATCGCGCACACAATATAATAGTTCGTTCCCTCAGTTTAAGTAAATTGCGCACACAATCTAATAATTCGTTCCCCCGTTTTAAGTAAATCGCGCACACAATATAATAATTCGTTCCTCCGTTTTAAGTAAATCGCGCACACAATATAATAGTTCGTTCCCCCATTTTAAGTAAATCGCGCACACAATATAATTCGTTCCCCCATTTTAAGTAAATCGCGCACACAATATAATAATTCGTTCCCCCATTTTAAGTAAATCGCGCACACAATATAGTAGTTCGATCCCCCATTTTAAGTAAATCGCGCACACAATCTAATAATTCGTTCCCCCGTTTTAAGTAAATCGCGCACACAATATAATAATTCGTTCCCCCGTTTTAAGTAAATCGCGCACACAATATAATAATTCGTTCCCCCATTTTAAGTAAATCGCGCACACAATATAATAGTTCGTTCCCCCGTTTTAAGTAAATCGCGCACACAATATAATAGTTCGTTCCCCCATTTTAAGTAAATCGCGCACACAATATAATAGTTCGTTCCCTCGTTTTAAGTAAATCGCGCACACAATATAATAGTTCGTTCCCCCCTTTTAAGTAAATCGCGCACACAATATAATAATTCGTTCCCCCGTTTTAAGTAAATCGCACACACAATATAATAGTTCGTTCCCCCATTTTAAGTAAATCACACACACAATATAATAATTCGTTCCCCCGTTTTAAGTAAATCACACACACAATATAATAATTCGTTCCCCCGTTTTAAGTAAATCGCACACACAATATAATAGTTCGTTCCCCCATTTTAAGTAAATCGCGCACACAATATAATAGTTCGTTCCCTCGTTTTAAGTAAATCGCGCACACAATATAATAGTTCGTTCCCCCCTTTTAAGTAAATCGCGCACACAATATAATAATTCGTTCCCCCGTTTTAAGTAAATCACACACACAATATAATAATTCGTTCCCCCGTTTTAAGTAAATCACGCACACAATATAATAATTCGTTCCCCCGTTTTAAGTAAATCGCACACACAATATAATAGTTCGTTCCCCCGTTTTAAGTAAATCGCGCACACAATATAATAGTTCGTTCCCCGTTTTAAGTAAATCGTGCACACAATATAATAATCCGTTCCCCCGTTTTAAGTAAATCGCGCAATGTTTTAAGTAAATCGCGCACACAATATAATAGTTCGTTCCCCCCTTTTAAGTAAATCGCGCACACAATATAATAGTTCGTTCCCCCATTTTAAGTAAATCGCGGACACAATCTAATAATTCGTTCCCCCGTTTTAAGTAAATCGCGCACACAATATAATAATTCGTTCCTCCGTTTTAAGTAAATCGCGCACACAATATAATAGTTCGTTCCCCCATTTTAAGTAAATCGCGCACACAATATAATTCGTTCCCCCATTTTAAGTAAATCGCGCACACAATATAATAATTCGTTCCCCGTTTTAAGTAAATCGCGCACACAATATAATAATTCGTTCCTCCGTTTTAAGTAAATCGCGCACACAATATAATAGTTCGTTCCCCCATTTTAAGTAAATCGCACACACAATATAATAGTTCGTTCCCCCGTTTTAAGTAAATCGCGCACACAATATAATAGTTCGTTCCCCGTTTTAAGTAAATCGTGCACACAATATAATAATCCGTTCCCCCGTTTTAAGTAAATCGCGCAATGTTTTAAGTAAATCGCGCACACAATATAATAGTTCGTTCCCCCGTTTTAAGTAAATCGCGCACACAATATAATTCGTTCCCCCATTTTAAGTAAATCGCGCACACAATATAATAGTTCGTTCCCTCAGTTTAAGTAAATTGCGCACACAATCTAATAATTCGTTCCCCCGTTTTAAGTAAATCGCGCACACAATATAATAATTCGTTCCTCCGTTTTAAGTAAATCGCGCACACAATATAATAGTTCGTTCCCCCATTTTAAGTAAATCGCGCACACAATATAATTCGTTCCCCCATTTTAAGTAAATCGCGCACACAATATAATAATTCGTTCCCCCATTTTAAGTAAATCGCGCACACAATATAGTAGTTCGATCCCCCATTTTAAGTAAATCGCGCACACAATCTAATAATTCGTTCCCCCGTTTTAAGTAAATCGCGCACACAATATAATAATTCGTTCCCCCGTTTTAAGTAAATCGCGCACACAATATAATAATTCGTTCCCCCATTTTAAGTAAATCGCGCACACAATATAATAGTTCGTTCCCCCGTTTTAAGTAAATCGCGCACACAATATAATAGTTCGTTCCCCCATTTTAAGTAAATCGCGCACACAATATAATTCCTTCCCCCGTTTTAAGTAAATCGCGCACACAATATAATAATTCCTTCCCCCGTTTTAAGTAAATCGCGCACACAATATAATAGTTCGTTCCCCCGTTTTAAGTAAATCGCGCACACAATATAATAGTTCGTTCCCCCGTTTTAAGTAAATCGCGCACACAATATAATAGTTCGTTCCCCCATTTTAAGTAAATCGCGCACACAATATAATTCGTTCCCCCGTTTTAAGTAAATCGCGCACACAATATAATAATTCGTTCCCCCGTTTTAAGTAAATCGCGCACACAATATAATAGTTCGTTCCCCCATTTTAAGTAAATCGCGCACACAATATAATTCGTTCCCCCATTTTAAGTAAATCGCGCACACAATATAATAATTCGTTCCCCCATTTTAAGTAAATCGCGCACACAATATAATAGTTCGTTCCCCCGTTTTAAGTAAATCGCGCACACAATATAATAATTCATTCCCCCGTTTTAAGTAAATCGAGGTAATCGAGGTTTCACGTAAATCGAGGTAATGAATTAGTAAAACGTGCTGACGTATTAGTAAGTAGTGGGAACCAATTGTTGATATACATATTTGTTCTTATGTCATGTGTGGCTCTGTAGGTTTATCACGAGTTACAGCCATATTTT